TGCTCTGTGCCCCCTGGCCTGGGGGCTGGTCCGGCCCCTGCACCCCCTCCAAACTACCTCTCTGCTCCTAGAAACCGTCCAGAGGGCAAAGTGCTGGAGACCGTGGGGGTGTTTGAGGCACCAAAGCAGCACGGCAAATATGAGACGGGTCAGGTAAGCGGTTCTGGGGAGCAGAGCTGACCCTGTGGGGCTGTTCCAGAGAGGTTGGGTAGCTGAGTGATGCACTCGTAAGGAGGCTGCTGCATTGTAGTGGAAGGCCAGAAGTTTCACAGTTCACTGCTCCCTTGTCTTTGCTGTGTCTGCACTTTGTCAGTCATCTGACAGTAGCAAGTCGATAAGAATCTGCAGCATGACACAACTGCTCCTACAATGGCATTTGCTCTGCTGCTTTTATTTAAGGGTTTTCTCCCTCTGGGAGCAAAAGAGACAATCGTTGAATCTGAGAAATAACAAAACTTGTGACTTCTGTGCTTACAACTCGCAGATCTGTTTCTGCGTTTCTGAGCAGTCTCTCCCATGCTGGTCTCCTTTCTGCACTTCTGCCAGTCTCTTACTTTATTACTGGTTTAGTCACTGGCTTTTATGGGATAGAGGTGGCTTGAATTTCTTCTCTTCTCCCAGACTCTTTATGTTCTCTCTTTGTTTCTGCTCTGGGTTCATGCAGTGGTGATTCTCCCCATATTCCCATCCCATGTGTTCATACTCTTTGTAAATTTTTCTAGTTTTACCTCAGTTAAAAGCTTTTTTTTAATTACTACCAGAGAAGGACTTTTGGCTCAGGTTTTCTATTGTATCTGGTTAAAGCTTGCTGTATATCCAAATGCAATTATTTGTTCCTTTCAGCTATTTCTTCACAGTGTGTTTGGCTATCGAGGAATAGTCCTGTTTCCCTGGCAAGCCAGGCTTTATGATCGAGATGTGGCTTCTCCTGTCACAGAAAAGTAAGGATTTGTTCTGGTTTATATGTTGTTGTATTGTTACATTTTATAGTGAGTTTCCTGCTTGGGTAAACAAGTCTTTTTAAGGAGGACAATGGCGTGGGTCTGTTTTGCATGAATGTAAAGTAGGAGAGGGGTGCTTAAAGAAGAGACGTTGCATGCGTATTAATTTTGTGTTAATTAGAGATAGGATGGAAGTGTGAAGGATGAGAGTGTGTGTGTGAAGGAGATAAAAAACATACCTGAAACACACTAAACCAACAAACCATGCTCTTGGGTTTCTTTGTTATAAAAACCCCCTTGTGCTCCTGCGTTAAAATTGCGGGCTGCTGCTTCTGTTGGTTGCCAGGGAGCTGGGTTTGTCCGCTGCCTCCCCGATTTCAACCCGCTTAGGACAAGTTCATCCTTCTTGTGGACTGAGTCACTGTTCACTTCTCTCCCCTCTTCCATCCGTTTCCCCGCGGTGTGTGCTGGAGGTGTGCCGGGCCAGTGTGCATTTGGAGCTGGGATGGAATGAGGAGTAAGCAGAGAGAGAATCAGAGGGCAGTAGCAGCACCCACCCCAAACAGGAGGCTGGACCGAGCAGAAAGAATTTCTGAGTCGTCTGAAAACTGAGCTGTTGTGCCTGTGACAAACACGGTTGATTGTCATCTCAGCTCATCTGTCGTTGTGTGGGTGGTTGATAGGAGTTTAATTTGGATGGAATTGAATGATTACAGACTGAAATGTATTTAAAAAAAAAAATAAATCATTGTTTATGAATGTGTTTGGTCCTGGTAACAACAGTTTGCTGCTATCCTGCGCTTGAGCTCAGCGTTCTGCTTTTCTTTTTAGAAGTGAGAATGCGGCAGGCCATGGTTCCAAAGAGGTCAAGGGCAAAACGCATACTTACTATCAAGTGCTAATAGATGCCCGGGATTGCCCGCATATAGTAAGTAACCAATAATCTCGGTACTGAAACTCAAATACCTTCTTCTATATGAATGCTTTAGATAGACGGGCACAGAAAGAAAATGGCTGTGATGGCTAACTTGATTGGTTAGAATTTTAGGACAAACTTGTTCTTTCAGTCATATTTTCCTCAAAAAGATAATCTGGAACACCATACAACTGTTTTGTGGATCACTTTTCCCCTTCCCAACCTTGCTTCCTCATCCTGTTGGTGCTCCTGTTCTGTTGCACACAGGTCATTATGAATGTGGGTTGCAGCACTGAAAATGCTCCTCGCTTTTTGAGTGGAGAATTAGTCTAGAGGAATTAAAAGGAGAGATGTTCTGAGGTGAATTGGTTAAATAAAATAAAAGTTACATGGTTTAGAATCACAAAATTAAACTGAAATGTGGCTGGAAACTGGCCCACAACAATCCATAAACCTCCCTTTTTCTCAGTCCCAGAGATCACAGACAGAAGCAGTGACGTTCCTGGCAAATCACGATGACAGCAGAGCCCTCTATGCCATACCAGGTGAGTGAAATGCACCTGTAACCTCTGTGGAGATGTGGATTGTCATGAGGTGAGGTCAAAAGAGTCGCCAACAGCCGACTTCGGTCAGTGAAGCAGCAGTTCCTACAGGATATTCCTGTAAGGTCTGGGGTTTAGGGCCGTGCTAGAAACAACAGAATGGCTGAAGTACACAAAGCCGTTTTGGATAGACGGCAGTTGGGCAGGCTCTGATCAGACACAAGCACACCTGCTTTGTGCTCTTGAGATGTAGACCCCATACACACACCCCGCTGCACATGGGCTATTCTGCTTTATCACCAGGGCAGCTAGATCTCGTCCTGCGCATTTCCCTCCCAAAGTCCTTTTTGTGACAGTGCAGTCGCTTCCCAGGCAGTGTGTCTTTATCACAGAAATCATTCTATGGAGAAATCTCACAGGAGAACGCGGCCAAGGGTTGTTACTGGCCTGTTTCCTCCATTCTTGCATACAATTTTGGCTGCTGCCGCCAAAATCCTTAGCATCTCAGTAGCATGATGCATTTGTCTGTCGGGAGACTTCTGAGCTACTCTTCGGTGGGAAGTTCAATGGATTTCGGGTTTCTTTTTCAGGTTTAGATTATGTAAGCCATGAAGATATCCTTCCCTACAGCTCCACCGATCAAGTGCCCATCCAGCATGAGCTCTTTGAGAGGTTTCTCATGTATGACCAAACAAAAGGTAATTTCTGGCTTCAGAGTGAAATCTTCAGAGCCAGATACTTGTGGTGTTCTGTGACAAGTACCCAGAACCCATCATCTTCAGTACAGTGTAAAAACCTTGGTCTGGTTTGGGGGTTGTTAACTGTAAAGCCTCCTTTAAATAATTTTTGTAACTAAAGGAGTTGCTCTGAGGGGAAAGCACTCCAGTTATGGTATGTCTCTCCTCATAAACTCTCATCTTTCCCTCCCCACAGTTCCACCTTTTGTAGCAAGGGATACACTGTGTGCATGGCAGGAGAAGAACCACCCCTGGCTGGAGCTCTCCGATGTGCACCGAGAAACCACAGAGAACATCCGCGTCACAGTCATCCCGTTCTATATGGGCATGCGGGTAGGTCTGTGTTGCGTGTCGCTGTGTTAGTTCTGTGATCTGTTTAACTTGCATGTTTTTCTAAGACCAGTTTACTGACTGAAAGTACCTTCTGCTTACTGAGAAATGACTTTAAATCACAGTTGCAAATCCATTGTCATTATGTTCAGCAGAGGTGTGAACATGAAACTGTTTTGTCATACGTTTTTGGAGAACAGCTCCTGCAACTTAGGTTTTCCTTGTTATTTGTAGGATGGGAAATACTCTGTACTGTTCTGCCAAACAGTGCTAGCAAGATATTGAGGAAGATTTTTAGGAAGGCTTGTCCAATGGTCCTTTACTGCCTCAGTCGCAGATGGGTGTGTGCGTAATGGGTGGCACCGAGGCCATCTGCCCTGTAATGTCAGACACATCCGTTATCCTGCCCCGTGGTGAGGTGCTGTGGGTGTCTACCCCTGTTTCCTAGCTCTAATGTGGCTTACAGGGTTTGGCTAAAGCCTTCTGGATTTAGCTGATAACTGTGTGCTTTTTATAGTGTAAGAACTTCATGAGGACCATCCAAAATAATGAGGTTCCAATAGACTTCTGAGTGGGAGGGCTGGGAATTACCACAGCAGTTTGATTTCCAAGTCCAGGCGAGCACAGCTGCTGGGGAGCTTGCACTGTGGCAGGTGGATGTTTTGGTGTGGAATTGTAGCTTCTGTGGAGCCCAGCTGATGTTTGTCCTAACCTTGTCAGAAAAACAGGTGCCTGAAGGCAAGGAAACGGGTGTTTCTAGATCTGTAGAAAGTGCGTAATTAACATGGAGATCAACCCTCCGTAGTCACGAGATCCTTGCAAATCTCCTGCCTCATGATTACATGTCTAGAGCAGAGCCCGAGCCAGGTGGTAACTGATGGACTGCTTCGGAGAGCAGCTGTCTTTGTGCTCATGTGAGTTGTCTGCGTCAATCTGGCGTGGAGCAAGAGCCCCTGTGCTTGTGCTGTGCTGACAGCTGAAGAGGTTTTGGCGCTGAGCGTTGAAGGGTAGCTGCTAAAGTCTTTTGTTTCTCTTGACAGGAAGCCCAGAATTCCCATGTCTACTGGGTAAGTGCCTTTTGTTTCACAAAGCAGCTAAAGGGAAGGAGTTTATTTGCTGTGGCATCATTGCTGTGTGATAAGCTCTGAGGGAGAGTAGCCCTTGCCTGGCAACTGTTTCCCAGTATTGGCAATGGGTTATCAACTGTTTGCAGCTGATTCCAGTTCTTGATAACAGTCTTTCTTCTGTCCAGTGGCGCTACTGCATTCGCCTGGAGAACCTTGACAGTGAAGTGGTACAACTCCGAGAGCGGCACTGGAGGATATTTAGCTTGTCTGGCACCTTGGAAACAGTCAGGGGCCGTGGCGTTGTAGGAAGGGTAGGTATCGTGTAGCTTCTCTTGGGAAGCGCAGCCCTTCGCTGGAGTCCTCTTGCTTGGATTGATTTGCCAGTAAATTGCTTAGCGGGCATTAAAAATCAATGGAATGGGAAACTGGCAATGAAAAAAAAATTACATGAGCTTTTAATCTGTTGTTAGTCTGCATGAATTGAAACTTCACACTGAGTATTAGAGAATGACCCTAAATGACTGGTAATGGGAAAACTGCAATAATACACAATTCTGGCACTACTCACTGGGCGAGCTGTTTGTTGTGTAATTGGTAGTGATGCTCAGGTGTGGACATCTCTGTTTTTCTTCTTGCTATATACATTTACTGTCGATGTCTGTCTGTGGAGAAACGTTAAGATCCGTTGCTGATGCAGAGTGGTCTCTTCTTGTCTTCTCAGGAGCCAGTTTTATCCAAAGAACAGCCGGCGTTTCAGTACAGCAGTCACGTCTCCCTGCAGGCATCCAGTGGTCACATGTGGTAAGAAGCACTTATTACTGCGGTAGTGGGTTAGATATAGGACCCCACAGCGCTGAGCTGGGATGCAGTTTGCAGTCTGGAGTTATGGCTGAAAGGTGGGTGGATGTGGACTGGACATATTTGATAGTTAAAATTTTCATGAGCTTCTTTATGGCAGTATCCCAGTTAGCGATATGATCTGTTGATTCTCTGCACCGAGAGAGGTTCCAGGCTAATTTATCCCCTTCCCCTGGTCTGTGCTAGACTGGATTTGAAAAGACATGCAGCAGTTCTATGTTACCTTCTGCTCTGTTCAGATTCTGTCCCTTTCAGTCCTTGATGCAAGAGGCAAGGCTTCATGCTGGTGTTTCCCTAGGCAGCAGGGATGCATGCACTGGTATCTTCTCTCTTTGGAGAGGATTGGGCTTTGATTCTGTCCCTGAGTGAAGCTATGCAGTTCTGTGTCCACAAGGAATTGGCACGTGGGGTTATTCCCACTTCAGGCCAGACAAGGCCTTCAGTGTAACCAGTGTTCAGGTCCCCTCTTCTGTAAGTGCAGTTAGGAAAGTGCTTAGCTGAGCTGTTCTTTCCCGTGCTGCAGGCTTAAAGCAGTTTCCCTCCGTTTTACATTTCGGCTGGGTTAGCTCATTTAGTGTCATCTCTGTGTGGACAAGAAATGCACAGCCACCTCTTGCCTTCTGTGTGACAGGTCTTTCTGGCTTGCATTTTTTAAGTAAATCTGTTTCAGAGTTAAGCTGCTTTGGAACTGCCTTTGAGTTGGGAAAAGGAAGAGGGCAGTTCTTTACCTATAGGATACACCCTTGTTTGCCACGTTAAGCATTTTGAATTGCCTGAGTGCATGCCCTGAGAAGTAAAACCAGCTTGTTTAGTAGGTTTTTTTTTTCTACCCTCTCTGCATGCATCCTGAAGAGAGAGAGAGAGAAATGGTTCTGCAGCTCAGAAGCTGCTCAGCTTGACTTCTGGTGTTCCATTGTGTCCTTTCTGTCATGAGAACCTGCTGGTTTATCTCCACGATCCTCTTGTCCATGTCACGTTCTGCAGTAGTCGTCTGTAATTCAGGGCAGTAAACAAATCCTTTGTACAAGGACAGGCAGACTGCGTTTTGAAATGCCCTTTGTGAAATGCAAAGCAGAAGCCAGTCCAAATTACATCTGTGAAGGGATTTCATATTGTCGCAGACTTCTTACCCAGTGGAGCTTCTGCCAAGAAATATGAATCTGAATTTACGTGTAATCAGTTTGTAAAAATAGCTCAGATGGTTCTGTCTCCTGTGGGGTGGGAGTTAGGTAAACAGTGCCACAGATGCATGGAGCATGCTTACCTCCTGGAGGCTCCAATCATGACATCTTTATTCAGGAAATGTATATTAGAGATGTGATGTAAACCGCCCAGGAGTCTTCCAATAAATGAGTCATCTTGGCAGGCAGATGTCCTTGCTGCTGAACTGATGTCCTTGCTGCTGGACCGGCCTTGCAAATGCAGCCCCAGAGTCCCTGTGCAGGATATGGAAGAGCTTGTGTCTTACCTTTTTGCTGGTGATTCCCAGCTTTGTTTTGTCCCGGGCCTCAGCGTGATCTCTGCCATTATTTTGCAGGGGTACTTTTCGATTTGAGAGGCCTGATGGCTCCCACTTTGATGTCCGAATCCCACCCTTTTCTCTGGAAAGCAACAAAGATGAGAAGACCCCCCCCTCCGGCCTTCACTGGTAGAGCAGACTGAGTGACGAGACCCACAGAGACCTGTGTGTGTTGTAGTCCTTTGCCTCCCCATTATGCTGCAGCCAAGAACACGGAGCTTTTAAACATTTTAGACCATTTTTGTTTTAACTGTCGTCTAACGGGGAGGCTTTTTTGAACTTTAACACTGGCTCTCTCAGGCTGCTTGTAAACATAAGCTGTGTTACAGTTAACCCTTCCCTTTGTGGCACCTGCTGGGGTTGGAGCTGGGGGACGTAGATCTGTGCTGCGTCAGAAGACTGGCCCCCTCGGCAGGCCTGGAGCCTTTCCAATATGTTGTGAATTCTCTGCAATGTGAGGTTTCTCTAATAAACTGGCCCTTCCAGTTGCAACCAGTCTTCCTTTATAAACCAAGGCCTAGGCTTTGCATCCAGCCTGCCCCGGCTTGTTGCTCCCCCCTCACCCATGTGCAAGGCAGTGCCAGCCCAGACTTCTTGCCGCTTCAGAAGACAACAGTGAGGATGTTTCAGGGA